TCCCTTGCTGCTATTACATTGGGACAAATTTGGGAGCATTGATGCCGACCAGCGCTTGTACCCTTATATTGGTCTGTTGAACAACGCAAGCTTGCTATAAGCAATGCAGATTTGTGAATAAAATAACAAACCACTTTTTCAGATAATGCGATTTGTTAAATAACAAACCACTTTTTCAGATATCCAAGTACCTCAACACCTTCAATCTCAAATACTATTTCTCAGTTGACAATTCTTATGTTGGGAAGAAGCTCGGAATTCTGCTGTTTCCTTTCTTCCATCGTGTAAGCTTTTAAATTAGACTCATTTTCATTCATTTTAGTGTAATTCGCCCATTCAGGACTGGTCTTTGAAGTACGCTGGTTCGGATGAACCTGTTCCTGCCAAAGATGATGTTAACGCTCCTGATCTCTATATTCCTTTGATGGCTTTCATAACATATATAATTGTTTCTGGATTCGTTTTAGGAACACAGGGACGGTGAGTTCTGTAACTATATTATTGATTTACTTAATATTCTTCATACTTGTTACTCGTAGTTATTTTCGTAATATTCTTCATACTTAATGTTCTTTATTTACTTAAAAAAAGTTCGTGAATTTGACCTTTTAGTTCCCAAGCACTACGGTTTTTTTTCTCTTTCTGAAAACTGTTTTCAACCACTGGTTATAGTTCCCCACCTTTCAGATTTTCTCCGGAGATGTTGGGCATTCTCACGAGTAATGCTTTCATATGGATAATCATTGAAAACATAATCATTTTTGTGAGCAAATATGTGATGAACATTTCGCAGGTATGCTTAAATTCCGCATTTTTAATTTGCTAGAATGTTTTTATTTTCCTTCTCGCTTATATCATCCAATTGTTTCAGAGCTTGTCAGTATGGCATTCGTTGGCGTATAGCACGTACAAGTTCTTCGGGTATGCTAATTTCAATTTTTTTTATTTTTTGCCAACCTTCTGTATTAATTCTTCCTTGATGTGGAGAACCCTCCAAATGCACACTCCAAATGTGTTAAGCTGTTTTTGTTTTGCGTGTGTTACGAGATCACATTGAGCTTGAACGATGAAACTGTGCTGAAGCACTTGCATTTACGCCTGTATTTTGCGCATTTTTGACGTGGCATATTTGTTACGTACATCACTGCTCAATCGTATTCTTTCAGGATGATCATATGTCTTCTGATGTTTATGGGTGGCGGAAAAACCTTCTACTACTGCACATTGGTTTATACATCGCTTGCTCTCGTTTTCTTTCTGGTTTGTGACTGCTTCGCCTTTTAACTCAAATTAGCTACTTCGTATTAGGAAATTTACCCTAAAATCAAGCGCAGAATTGTCTGAGGAGAAATACTGTACGAGTGTGTTTGTACTTTTCCAATACTCCTTAAAGAGCTGAGTACTAAGGCGAGATCTAGTATGATCGCAGTCGCTTGTTGGTACTGAATGCAAACAAGGTCCAGCAATTTCGATATGGCACTTTGATGACAGACCGGGCCAAGATAATTTTACCAATAATAAATTTATTCCATGGGAGATCTAGAATTTAGTTGAATTCACTTGCAACTAATTAGCCGCCAGCTTTTTTTCCATACGCTGGCACTCCAATCGCGCGTGTGCGGAAGAACCTGCGACCGTTTGGAGGCACGTTTAAGTGTGGAGTGTGACTGATGGACATTTCGGACATGGCATATATCACAAGAAAGATCATATATAATAGAAATTGTATTATAAAGATGTTAGTTTATTTTTTTGTGCCAGCGGGGTTGCTTGGTGGAACTTTTATCATCAGCCTTTGGAGTGTATAAGGTTTAGAAACCCCTTGTACTTTAGAAGAGTAGCTTGAGAACATATTTCAAGAAAAGAAGATGGTGAGTATGACGGCGGTGGTTCTCTTTCTCTTTATACTAGCCTCTCAGGCGCCTTGCCGTTGTCGCAGCATTTGTGTTTTGTTAACTTGCATAATAGTAGTCTGTCTAAATGCATTGCATATTATCTTGAACGGTGATTACGTCTGCAGCAATATGAATATGTTTATTATTCACTAGAAATCAAATTCAATTCCTAACTGTTTATTATGATTAATGAATTTTTTTCAGCTTCGAACGGTGAAGAACTTTGTGTTCCATTCGCATCATTTTGGCGGTGAAGAGGGTCGAAAGAGAAAGCTCATTCTCATTTTGTTCATACTGGTTTCACAGCCACTAATTATGTGGTGGTTGACTAGGTGAGCGGTTTTGGGTTTATAAATATTTTGTTGAAAAGGCTAGTAAAGCTCTAAATTTAAAGACTCGTTTAAACTTGATTTGCTGATATTGTTTACCAAACTAAACTAAAGGCGAGTTTGAGAACCGCTTACATGGAGAAGCGTCCTTTTGTTTCGTCGACCATTCATGTGTAATTGCTTTTGAATAACTTTTATTAACAGTGCTTTTTCGTTTTTAGCTCTACTGTTTCCCCAAAGAAGCCAAACATTGTATTGGTGGGTTCGATCTTCGAACATTTTTAGCCATTTAGTTGAAGAGTTAGACCTCCTTTGTTCGCACGGTAGTGTTCTGATCCTATTTTCTCTCTGTCGTTTCGCAGAACTTTCGGCACAGTTTGGCATGGTGGAGGTATTTTGCTGGTTCTCATCGATAATTGGGTTACGTGGCAACTAGAACTTTGGATGAAGGGGGTCTTGGCACGAAAGGGTAGAGGAGAGCGCAAAGAAATAGAGGACTATGGCTGCCAAGAATTAGAAGAGTGCAACGTATATGTTTACAGATGAAGGAATGTGTCCTCAGTGACCTCCGGTCGCCTCAGGCCGACTGGTCGTATTTTCTCTCATCCTTACTCCCATGTGTGTAAACTGTTTGAAGTGTTGTTGTTTACAAGCTGTATTAATTGTAATTGTATGCTGAGTAGTTCAACATGTTGTGAATGCGCAAGTTGGTGAGTAGATGAGAGATCGGAATACAGATCTTTGCGCGAGTCTAATATGAGAGCTGCGATATTCAAGGTTGTGTTTGAGGGCTGTGCTAAACGAGTGCTAATGTGGCTAACGACGTACCGGTACCAAGCTTCTTTAACACTGGCCACACGTCTTCTGGTGCGAAGATCCGATCGTGACTAGCGTGGAGTAAAGTTAAGAGACTAGAAGATGGAAGCTAGAAGGAACTAGGTCTAATGGTGTTAGAATAGCTCCTGCTATTGGCCTCTCAACATGTCCTCCTGTGACACGAGTTGTCCTTGCCCGCTGGCTTTTTGGTCTTTCTCAGCAGGCTTCCGCGAGAAACATAATTTTATGGCAACTTTAAAATACCGTTGTCTCTCCGCTTGTTCCTGTCTCTCGACTTCATTACCAGCATTTTAATCTATTCTTCTCTCCCTGTCTTTAGCATTATTCTTGAATACACTAGTCTTGAACAAATCCACGATTGCATACTGTGAGTCATGCGTTCAACTGGCCCTTGAGCATTGAAACCAATAATCGCCGCGGAGAAGAAAAAAAAGCAGGAGAAAAAAGTCGCGGAGAAAAATGAGCCATCCTGCCCGCGCTCGCTTACAACGAGTTTCCAGACGCCTAGAGAACGATAACTCGCCTGTCCTCTAGAAGTACCTTTCTACCACTTCATCCGTACCGTCTAGGCAGTGGACGAAAAAAAAACGGGAAACACGAATAAAACTGGACTTCGTACAGACAATAAGCCTTTGAATTTAATGGCGGGCAACTGGAAAGGGTCTGAAACTGCCCGCTCATTAGGTTCTGCCTTTATCACCTCCCTCTAAGCGCGAAAGCCGGACAGTCGTAGCCGACTGGCCATCTACTTGTACAAGGAAGGACGCCTACAAATCTCTTGTGCGCGGGGACTGTGTTTTACTAAGAAATACAGCATGCCACAACAGGTTTAGAAAACTCTTGTCATTTGTCATTTCCCCAACGTCTTTGGTTCTTGTTGTTCGGTAGACTGCTAGGGCTGCAATTTGCTGACATTTGAAGCTTCATACATTTTTCCCCTGAGTTGTTATAGCGAGCGATTCATAATTTTTGAACTTTTTTTTCTAGTCTTTGTCCCTTCCTAGTGGACGGCATACAGATTCTGTTTGGAATCTTAATGATAACAAAAGCATATTCTTCTAAGGCGGAAATATAATCTTTTTGTCGTGAACATATGAGGCAATGAAGCAGCGACCTGACGGTTTGAATGCAGTATTTTGGTGTTCCTTTCCGTAGTCTCCTACAATCCTCTTTCTGCTCCTGAAGCTTTCCGTGGTCGATCCTGTGTCTGTAGTCGTTAGGCTCTTTCCCCAACTTAGAATCAACAGAAATTCTTGCGTTATTCATTTTAGTGGAACAACTAGTTTCGAACTTGGCAAAACTCGGCTTTGCACAGATGGCGATGGGCAAGATGGGTATGGGTAATGTGAAACTTGGAGATGTCCCCATGACAGACGACGGAGAAGTTGACTACGAGGCTCTTCTGAAAATGCCACAGTAGGTTACTCAGCACTCTGTTTCTGCCCATCATGCCGATTTTTCTTGTTAATGAAATGTGCCAATTAGTGAATGTGATTCATAATGGAAAACTGGAAAAAATTTTGATTGATGATTATTCTGTTATTGTACTCTCTCTACAGATAGTTTTTATTGTTTTCATTTTCTGGGTATAGATATATTTATACAATTATTGCAGCGTCGCTCGTTTATTGTGTAGTAAGTTATTTTGATGACTGGTCCACAGGGATTATTGTGTGGCTTGTTAATGAATCATTTTTAGTTGAAATTCCAACAATTTCACAAGTATGCCAAGATGTGAAGCGTTGTTGTGCGCAGTATCAAACGTAGGAAGAGGGCGGGGGAGGCGGTCAGGGCACGCCATCGTTGTAGAAAGCACAACGAGGAGGTCGTATTTGACCGCGAAGGAGGGTCGGGGTTATGAGCACAAGACTCATAGGAGTGGGAAGAACAGCAATACTGAGATCTCGTACAACCAGTGATTGATAGTAGATTCATTCATGGTTGTTGCTGTGAAGAACACCTGAAGAGACTGAAGACAAGGCAAGTTGCAAGCTCAGAAGCGAAGAACGGCAATGACAAGAAATACGGCAAGCGCCCTTAACGACATCGTGAATTAATAAACAAAAAATACAGTAGTTCAGACCCTTCCGAACCACACGAGCACATATGCTTCCACGAAGAAGCCTTACCTAGAAGTCGCACCTTTTCAACTCGTCCTCATTATTGACTTTCGGGGATAGTCGCTTGATAGCGAGCACATCGAGCAACTTCTTTTCCAATGAGCTCCCTTTTGTACGGTGTAAAACAGAGACTTTCAGGCTGGGAGGTGCTTCCTATGATGAAATATCGTACATACGATGTCGCGATGATCCACTGAGTGAGAGAGGGATTCCGCAAGGCCACCAATATATTTTCAACCGCATTCTTCACATGTGACCAAGTCAACTGTTATTCGCAACAGACAATTTTATTTTTTATGCAGTACGTTACTTCGGGCACATCTCCCTTCATAAACCTAGTACTGCGGAACGGTTGAGCCGTATCAGCAGTAGAGTGTGTCCCGCCCGTCGAAGTTATACGAGAAAGATATGGTACAGTGTTATCACTTGCTCGCATTATCAACTAGTGGAAACGGGTTTGGCACTATGCCAAACTCATCCCGCCGGGCACGCCCAACCGTCCGCAGCGAACTACACTTTACTTGACGGCATGAATATGATGAAGCCAAAAGTCCGAATGAGCTGTTATCACAGCGGAAGCTAACCAATGAAAACTCTACATCGAGTTCTCAATGACTATTGTTGAATAGGACAATATAGAGCATGAGGCTCAGGGGTAGTTCGATTCTATCATATCCGAGGAGATGCTTTAACTGATTTCCAGCCGTGGAGCTCTCATGCAAAGACATCCCTACCATAGCTGCCGATAGAAGGTGTCCGATGTGTGGAGGACAGTAGGATGGTTTCATGCCCACTCTATAGGCAGAGCAGGCCATCGCATTGTGTGTGTCGAATTTCTGCTAAATACGACACCCCTCCCCGTTCAGAAGCGGATATCGTTACGAGTCCCCACCAAAAACATCAAAAGGAGATGGTATCCAGAAAGGTACTTGAATTATAAACGTTCGCGCACATTCAGAAATGGTGCGCGAGTAGTTGAAGGGCTTTTTCACCGTTGTACTAGAGCAAGTCACTTCGTGATGTATGCTGCAAAAAGGGTCAGGAACTCCAAGTGTACCCTTTCTTTGCATCCAAACTCCTTCCTTTTGAGGATCTTCCCCCGTCGTGACATCGTTGTTGCATTTTTTGTGTCCCTACGTGTTTTCAGCATGTGACAGCCATAAGATGGGACTTCTTGAAAAACCAATAACAGTACCGGGATCCAGAAGGCTTCAACTTCCTGATAAGTACATCTCTTTGTTCTCTTCTATTTGAAGGCAAAAGGTACGATAAATCCCTGAGACGTGTTAATGTTGATACGCCTAGCAGGACAGAATTTCGCGCTCCTGAGCGGGCGCTACGTAGCGCCCTTTT